AGGTCCTGGCTGCACCTCACGGGAGCTGCAGGCTTGGTTATGCGGAATTTATCACATTCAGAGCAGAAACAGCAAGGGTTCTTGGGGATTAAGAGCCCTAGTGGCTGCCAGTGCCGTATGCTGTTTTGAATGGAATCAGAATTTTGATTCTGCATTAAGCAAGTTATTTTTCTCACTGCTCTCACAGCTGATGCTGGCATTAGGAATACAGGATTTGGCTGCTTCACCATGTTAGTGTTTTTCTAGCAAGGTGTGCATGTTCAGGACCTGCAGCTTCTTGGAACTGTTAAGGAGTGGGATGCTGTGTGGAACTGAGTAAATCTGTTTTTACTTGAATCATTCATAAAATGTACATGACTGGTATCTTAGAGCAGTAGTTGCAAACAGAATGGTAGGTCTGCAGGAGCAGTCCCACAGGCAGCCTGGACAGAGTGCAAAGATGAGAAACTTTGGAGGCAGAAGGAAAAGGTCCTTTCTTTTGCAGCCTAGTGAAGAGTGCTACCTTTACTTTCAGTCAGGTGGGAGGTAACTGAGGCAAGTGCTTCAGCTGAGGTTGCACCTCTCTCCCTACAAAGAAACACTTTTTTATTGTGAGGGTTTCTGAGCACGGACACAGGTTGCCCAAAGAGATTATGGAGTCTCTGTCCTTGATGCTATTCAAAAGCTCTCTGGAAATGGTCTTGGGCAGTCAGCTCTAGGTGACCCTGCTTGAGCAGGGTGGTAGGACAAGATGATCTCCAGGTGTCCCTTCCAGCCTCAACCCTTCTGTGATAGAGTTTGCCCTTTCCCTTCCTCCTTCCACTTGTGTAATAGTAGTTTGTGCTGGCAGGTCTTGCTGTGTCAACAGCCTGGTAGCCAAGAGTGTCTTCCTGTTCTTGGGGAAGCTTGAAGTTGTTGGTAGGGAGGTAGTTCTTAATAATTTGCTCTACAGATCTTGGCAGCAATGGGGCAGAATCTTAAGTAGTGTGCGTTCCCTGGCTAGCTTCAGGAATGTGAGGTAGACAAGCTTGCTGGCAGGAGCACTTTCAGCAGACAAGTTTAGGTCATCCCATTCAAAGTTAGGACATGGGGCTTTGATTTTTACAGTTAGGTTGTGTGAGTGACACAAAGGCTAGGGGAAATCCAGAGAAGGAGTGAAGCTGGGAACCTCTCTGTGGCTGGAACAGAAGGGATCTAAGTTAAGAGAAGTTCTGAGAACTGTTACATTGACTTAGGGACATGCATTCATGCAGGTTGGAAAATTAGTTAAAGCAAAGTAAAGTACGTGCATAATTGAAAACTAGCTGAAGCCACTTTCATTGAGTTATCATATTGCCTTTCTAGTTTAAGAGAGACTGTACGTACAGTCACGGCTCAGCTGAGAGATGGCAGCAAATCTGTCGCTTTGTAGTGTGTGTCTTCAAACACTGAAAGAGAATTGTTGAGCATTTTTGAGCATCTATGTTTGGAACTCATGCCTTGGGAAAAGTTAATGTGTATTTTTCTGCACTGTATTTCATACCTTCTGAAGGTTTTGTAATAAATACATCTTGAGCCTGTTGATGTATAAAGTATATTATTTAAATTAAGATCTCTTGTTGATTAATGTACCCCTTTATCTTTTTTTTTTTTTTGCTCTTTTTACACTGAAAGAGAATTGTTGAGCATTTTTGAGCATCTATGTTTGGAACTCATGCCTTGGGAAAAGTTAATGTGTATTTTTCTGCACTGTATTTCATACCTTCTGAAGGTTTTGTAATAAATACATCTTGAGCCTGTTGATGTATAAAGTATATTATTTAAATTAAGATCTCTTGTTGATTAATGTACCCCTTTATCTTTTTTTTTTTTTTAGCTCTTATTTTGATGAAAAGGGTTTAGTCAGACAACAGTTGGATTCTTTCGATGAGTTTATTCAGATGTCTGTGCAGAGAATTGTTGA